TATCAATCGGCAGGGCAACATTATAGATACTCGGGATATTCGATAGCTGAAAATAATAACAAACTTTATCCTGCTGGACACTACCAAAAGAAAAGGAGAGATTGACTTATGGTATCAGACTCATCCGAAGCCAACACTAATCAACAACAATAGTAAGCACAAACATGCTTACCCATACGTTAGTAACGCAACAGACTGCCTCAATAAGTCAGCAACGGACCAACCGTTGGCACTTACGTGAATCTTGATATCCGAACCCAACGAGGTTTGAGGAAAAAGTGACCGCTCCTTTAGGGCCTTGACCGCTCCCCGCGGCGGCCGCCGCCGAGCGCTCATAGGTCCCGCCCGACCCCTGGCGGCGGCTTCCCGCTAAAACGCTGCCGCATTTGGTAACTTCGCTGCCGCGCCGGATACATAGAAAAACATTTTGCGTTCGGAACGCAAAATTACATTTCTTTGGAAAACTGTGGTCATCCCTGCCCTAACTTTCGGATGTCAAACAGTCCCCCTTCGCTCGTGTGATGTTGACGATCTGGATGGCCTGCAATCTCGGTGCATAAAAGCTGCCCTCGGATTATCCAAATACGCTCATCATTCTGCTTTGCTTGCAGCTTTAGGTATCCCGAGAATACATGAGCGGCTCAGACGAGCGGTGCTGCTAGCCTTATCGGGTATATTCCGCAGCCACCAACACCGACTGAAACACATTATGATACGAGAGCTGGCTGTTTTAGCTACCGAGCCTAGACAATTGCACGGAACATTTCTGGACCTGGCATACAAACTGTTAAACTGTTCTTTTCAAAACGTGCTCGATGCTGTGAGGGGTCATGTGGACCATAGCTTCATAGGCAGCGCGATCGACAGCGACGGTGTAGTAGATTCGCTCAGATTCCTTTTATATTCCAGCCAGACAGTGATGTCCCGTCGTCTCGTGAGGCTTCTGTGCTCATAGGTTTTTTTCACAAATGTGTTGACTTGTTAATGTGCTTTGCAATTGCGTTTTTAGTGTTGTGTTCATCGTCCTACATGCAGTATCTGTACTGCTTGTGTGTTTATTGGAAAGTGAAATGTGTATGTGTATTGTCTGAAAAAGACGCATAATAAATTGATGATGATGATGATGAATATAAAATGTGGGTCTTGGAATTATGCACAAAAACCAATTTCCTGATCCTACGCACACAAACCCACACCTTTGGATGTGGACTTACTGCATCTCGTTTCTACCCACTGGTGTCAATTTGTATACTTTTGGTGGGCCCTCGGCCCCCCCAATCCTTAGTTCGGCCCCCCAATGTTTTTTTCAGATTTGCGCACTAAGGCAATACCTATATCCATGCAACGTTAGACATTCTTCGACATACGTTAATTTCCATGTTCGTCAAGTTTTTTCCTCGATTTGGTAACAATTATTTCACCACGGATTACCATAACACGCAGCGAATTTGGCGAAGCGCAAAACCGCGTCGAGCTTCTGCTTGGATTTCTGTGGGACGCCGGTGAAAACAGGGCGCCGGAGGGCAAATTAGTCACGTGACTATTACGAAGTTCTCCTCTCCTCTCCTCGCCTTGTAGAGGCTGATTGTCACGAGTGAATTTCAAGAGCCTTGATCAAATCGCCCCAGGCGCCCTGTTTTCACCGTCGTCCTTTCTGTGAGAGGTCGAAAATGTTTTGATTTGCCCCCCGTATTGAAATTTAGTTCTCTATATACCGTGTTGCAAATGAACATGGATATACGGAAGTACTTCGCGAAGAGGGTACGTATATCTTTCCGTTCATTAAAAGGAGACAATAGCATACATAACGTTGAATGACATGATTGTTGTGGGGTGCGGAATGTAACTAGTTCGCAAAATCAATGAATTCGTGCTGCCGCCAATGCTAAACGCTGCCGCGGAGATATGCCTATCATTTGAATATAATGCAGGTGCCACTCGGTGTTTACAGCTGGAGCTGAATGACCGTGTTTCATATATCTTATAACGGTATACCTACAGATGTTACAGATAGTACTCAGTGAGCATCTCCAGTTGGTCTGTACAGAGGCTTTCCCTGCTAATGTCCTATTTTATTTTATTTTATTTTTTTAATTTTTTTTCTCGGTACCTCAAAATAAAGTGGCCGAAATCCGAGGAGAAAAAAATAGAGGTATGTAGGTTGCCGCGATCTGCCAGTGTCGCCCCCCCCCCCCCAACCATTTTCATAAATTGACACCGCTGTTTCTACCAGTTGTAGCCACAGAGAATGTAGTTTTCAATCTATGTATTTCTACTGACTACAGACGGCAGCCTTTGTATGCGTAGTTCATTGAAGACCGTAAAAACTCTGTTCAGCGCGCAGTTCTGTGTCGCAGTATCCCAAACAATTACAGCGTCCTTAGCAAAGCCACCATACACTGCGCCTGAAAGCGTCAAAAAGAAAAAAACTTGCCAGCCTCGACAGCATCACAACAACGTTACGGGACACGTTCACAACATGGCTCCCCAAATTCGTCTTAACGAATTTTATCGCATCTAAGCGCAAAAAAAAAACACTGCTTTCCCGCAACAGCGATAGCATGACCATGCTCCAATGCTATCGAACCAACGGCAACAACAAAACATCACCTTTTTTCTTTACAAGTAGGTATCTCAACCAGCTCGTCGTCGTCGTCGTTGTTCCCCCCGGCCCTTAGAGGGGCGTAGCCAGGTGGCTCAGTTGGGCACGGTAGCCAGCGGCCAAGGCCACCACCACGCTGTCATCCCGTAAGTCGGTCGCCGTTTGGTGAATAGTGCCCACTCGTGCCAGGCGGCGCCCCGCCAGCGCCGGACATCGCAGCAGGACGTGCCGCGGGGTGTCGGCCTCCTCTCGGCACACGCGGCATAGCGCGGCCGGACACTCCACTGAGCTGCACTGGTCGCATCCAGGCGTTAGGCGACGGCCGATACGGTGGAGGTACTGCTACGAGCATGACCAGTGGCCGGCTCGGAGCTGATGGATGTCAACCGCGGAGCGGCGACATCCGACACCCTCCAGACATTTTGGAATCTGAAGAGACCCGCCTTCACGAGGTGGACTCCGTGGGGGCCTGCCCCCGCCCCCGTTGTGGAGAGCGGCGGGGGGCTACGGAACGGGTCCCAGTCCGCCCCCTGGGGGCCGGACGCCGGTGGCCAACGCGCCACCACGTCGTCATCTCAACCAGCTTAACAACACTCTAGTCCCACGCATCGGTCGCTCACTGCTCCTGGTTCACATGGTTCCTGGACTGGAAATCGATCACATGTGTTTCGACAACACTGCACTGCTATGCACTGCGTACTCGCGTTCATGGTTCCTCGACTGGAAATCGTTCTCTTGTGCGCATCAGCAGTATCAGTCGACCGACCGGTCGGATGAAGCGCGATGACCCCACTTGCACGCACACTTTGCGCACCAGTCCATCTGCGCTCGGCTGCACCTCGATGATTCGACCGAGTAGCCAACGCGCCCTCGGTTCTGCGTCGTCGATGACCGCAACGATGTCGCCTGGCTTCAAGTTGGGCTGCAGACGGCACCACCTCCGGCGCTATTGAAGAGTCGGGAGGAACTCTCGACGCCATCTGGTCCAGAATTGGTTGACCAGGAATTGAACTCCGCCAGCGCTGCCGGGTATACAAATCTTCTGAGCTCTAGGAGCCAGGTTATGGTACAGCAACTCTACTTTTAAGGGTGAGGATCTGATTGGGACTGAGTGGCACGATGGTGTCATCGGACACACCAGCGCTGTATGACAACGGGCGACTGTTGACAATCGCTTCAGCCTCTGTTAGGAGTGTTCGGAATAGCTCATCATCCATAGTGTGCCCGTGTGTGGATATCAGCGAGGTAAGAACTGATCGTGCGCATCCGATCATTCGCTCCCACACACCTCCCATTGAAGAAGCCTGCGGCACATTGAATCGGAACTGGAACCAATCGCAGTGTGTCTTCAGTAGCTCACCACGAATCTGTACGTGGTCTTCTTCTTTGGGTGCTTCTTCGAGCATGTTCTTCCCTCCGATAAAGTTGGTCCCGTTGTCACAAAACAACTGTTTCACGGGTCCTCGACGACACACAAAGCGCCTGCATGCATTTAAAAATGAATCAGCTGAGAGCGAGTTGACCGACTCCAAATGGATCGCACGCGAGGCAAGACAGGTAAAGAGTATTCCCCAGCGTTTGACGTTGCTCCGTCGTTTTTTTATATAAAACGGTCCGAAGCAGTCGATCGCACTGTTGGTGAACGGCTCCACTGGCTCCATCCTTTTTTTCATTTATTTATACCACATCACACACCATTCATTTGCATTACACTCACACACACATCTCCTTCCTGTCCACTGGCTCCATCTTTTCTCGTGGGAGATCAGCCATCTTCTGGTGGGAGTTGCATCTCTTGCACACCTAAAATGTCTCAAAATCGAAGCTGAAAAGATAAAAAACTGCTATAAAGCGGAAATGGTTAGCTTTTACATATATTCAAAAGGTACCGTTGGACAAACTGTATGAGCAGGAGCACATAAGTACAATATCAGGTTATGGAAATTTTTCCCATGTTTAGGGCACAAATTATGGAGGGGCAAAAATATACGTTTGCCCCTCCTCCAAAAGTTTCGTAGGGACGATGCCTTCTCTGCCTTCTCTGCCGACGATGCCTATCCGTCGCCCCTGTAAGCGGTCACTGAAGGTCTGGCTGCCGCTGAGTCACGTTCACGCTTAGAATGCCTACAAAACGAGTCTGCGGAGAGGAAACTTCTATTGAACGCAAACGCTTGTCATTTAAGAAAGGCAACGTATGGTAAAGTATATGGGCATTTGGTTACGTCTTCAGATGATCGAACAGAATAATTATATGGTTTCTTGTCGATTTTTTGTCACAAATTATGGGGGGAAAACCTTTTGCCCCCACGAGTTTGCCAGGGGGAAGCTGCTCCCCGCCCCTTCCCCCGAATCCGCCGCCCCTGGCTCAGTGAATATGACACATGTGTTTATTCGGTAGATGACGACTGGGACGCCAAGTGGAGGGTGGATGTTCCCGACCGGGACCCGCTGGAGCTGGCGCCCGACACTAAGAAGGTAAGTATGTATCAATCACCTCTTACGGTAGGTTCCTTGATTTGAATTTAGTTATGATTTCGTTTAAGAAAGTGTGTATCTTTTATTCTTTGTCCGAATTTGCATGTCGGATAAAGATAAAAACTTGCCGACTGGAAAGCGTAGACTGGACTATTAAAAGTGGGTTCACCTCTTCAAATGCTGTGCAAGCATGTTAACAAAACATGAGCACCAAGATGCCTTAAAATGACCGCATGATGGCATGCCAACGACATATATATTTGTTTCGCAAACTTATCAATCCGATAAATCGCTTTACTGTTATCTTTTTGTTTTTGCCTCTTCGAGGAAAAGGTCAATGATTCTTCACGTACTTAATCGTTTGACCATTTTCACTATTTGTGTGTTTCGATTTTATCGATGGACCATTGGATTTGGCTGTTAGTACTGGCGACATCAGCCGAGTGAAATCATGTTTTCTTTGTCAGGCTTTCCTCGGCGATGGCGCTGTCAAGGAGGAGTCCGAGGCTTCCATTGCCGCCGTCGGCGAAGGAGACCAGGCGACAGGCTCAACAGGTGAGGCGCTATTGTGGTCCGGTGGCTACGGAGGAGCATTGAAGGGACAGTATCATCGAAAAAATCAATGTATGGAGCTGAAAGTTTTTTTTTACTAGCATTTCTCATTTTTCTGAATCAGAAAAACATAGTTTGAGGACCGAACTCGGTGAAAAATTTTGCAGTCATTTTCATGAGCGAACCACCACTACAAGCATGGCCGCCACCATGGATGAAGTATTCCCCGCCACTTTGGAAGCCTGCGAAATTACTACAAAACTGGCGCAGATAATACATTGTTGACGCTACGCTTACGCAGTCGTTCTTCTGATTGAGTTGTCGTTAGGGAGAGGCAGCCTTAAGGCCGCCCCTCACTGGACCTTGCATGCGGGTTGCGGGTCTGCGGGTTTTGGGTTTGCGGGTATAATTCTCGTTCATGGAGTGATTACACCATTCAAAAAATTACATATTAATAAATAACAGCACACCGAACCAACAACCGACTCCGACAAAATACACCAAAACTCGCAGCCCTTTTAGCAAGGAAAATCGAAAATTGACTCAAAATCAAATTTTGGAATGCAATGCGAGGTGACTCGCATGTAAAAATTTGCAGACTCGTTTGTTAGATGGTAATGTGGGTCGCTTAACCTTCGCCCCAGTGGGGGGGGGGGGGGCATATGTTTACCACCCTGTCGCGTTTTTTTTCGTGTGAATAAAAAACCGTGGCGCGAAGCGCCGCGCCGCTTGAAGTAGCTTGCTATACATCAATTTGGGACAATGTGTGAAATTTTTTACCCCAGGTCATGTCAGGTCAGGTCACCAGGTCAAGTTAACTGACCAAGCCTAAAAAAGTTTGCAATCATGTCCAGACTGCAGTGTTTGTCATAGAGGTTTTAAACTTGGTGGATTGCATGATGTTATGGGCACCTATAATTTGTATATCTCGGATTTTTTATATCCGTGACCTAAGGTCAGGCCAGTGGCGTGACCTTTCCATTATTAGTCAATGGAGAAAAATGAAAATGCCTCTAGATCCGTGTGTACGCATAGGAAGACTCAAAATGTTTCAGAATCACAATGATTTGGACCACCCGTGACGACCAAGGTGTCTTTTTTGCTGATAGTCTCTAGAAAGGTCATCCGAGGTCATTTGAGGCTACAAACAGATTTTTGCCAATAACTCTCGATTAGAAATAGATAGAATGCTGGGGATGGCTTCATTGTGTTTGGCTCATTGAGACGAATCGACTGATATGCAACCTGACCTATTTGGGTCACCATGTGACGTTGACCTGAGGTCAAAGTTTGACCTTGACCCTTAAGGTAAAAATATATTTTTTAAAGCGACTGAAGGAGAGAAACACGATAGTGCTATTGCCAATTCTTCATCTTTGCTGGTTCAAAAGTTATTCGTGAAACAAAGTTTTATCCAAAAACAACTATTTTCACAATGTTTGACCTATGGAGGCTTAACCGTTGACCTGACGTCAATTTTGATGATGACTGTCAAAAGAAGAGTTCAAAAGCTATCGATTGCTTTTCCATGCGTTTTTCTAGCTATCATAGTTCCTGAGAAAACGGCATGTTTTCTGAAAAATATAATGACATTGGCAAATTTTTACCTTTGATGACTTCTGGTGACCCCAATATTGCTCAAAGATGAAAAATGACTGAAATACTTTCAAACGTACGCATTTAGAGCTATCGACTGCTTTTTACCGCGTCTTTCTAGCCCTCTTAGTTTTTGAGTTAGAGGTGGGTGGTAACATATGCCCCCCCCCCCACTATGGCGAAGCTGGCTGAGACCGCCACTGGGGCGCGGTTAACATAACCCGGCACCGCCTGGGCTATTTCCGTACCCACGACAGCCGGGGGGGGGGGGTCGGATCCGACCCCCCTCCCCCTGTTATCTCGAGAACCAATGGTCGTATCGAGCCCCGCGAGGCGGCGTTCGAAAGGTCTCTACGAGACCTTCCCAAAGCACTCTTAATATTTTAAGATTAAGGTCAACTTTCGGGTCAAGATCAGGTCAAAGGTCAAATTCTGGGGTTTTGCATGATTAGGCTTACGGACAGCGGAATCGATAGCTGCTGCTCGAAACTCACAAAAAAAATGACCTCAAAGACCTAGTGAAGGTCATGTGCGTATAGGGGTCATACCACAGGGGAGCACTGCCGCTTCAACCCTATTGGCCGTAGTGTCTAACGGTGGCGGCCACATTGCGCAGACCAGGAACCGGCTGCCGCCTGTGTTGAGGAATAGGGAATTCGGGACCTTGATTTACGTTTGCGGCCGCCATATCCGTTACGTTCAAGTTACGTAGATACGGAACCCGGCATCTTACGCAGAATTGAGTGGGGAACACGATCGTATCTTCAGAATTCCTCCAATTCACTCGCCGGACCTACATTTGCCCCGGCCGAGGGGTTGATTGAACCCACCTCGCTAATGCGTCGCTAATTAAACTAGAATTAAGCGGTACAGTGGTCGTATGCGGCAAAGTACAATGCAGAGTGACTGGTAGGAACCCGCTGTAAGGGTCTCAGGTCAACCGGTGACCTCTGTGAGGTCAGGTCAAGTGATCAAAGGCACGGGTTCGGTTTTTGGTAAATGACTTCGCCAAAAATGGCCGTAGAGCCGCGATTTTGGCATCATCGTGTTCAGCTAGCTCAGGCGCATCGAGTGACATACTTTTTGTTCGGGTCAGGTCAACTTAGGGTGTTGACCTCGGGTCAAGGTCAGGTGAGCACCCCCAGGTCACGAAGTTGGTCGAAAGAGGTCATGTCGCATATCATTCGATTCGGCAGGTCTTCCTGAGTCCATTGGTGGCTTTCCCGACTCGCTGGCTCAATTTGATGGGGAGTTATTGAAAAAAAACTGTGACCCTTGTGACGTCACAAATGACGTCACGCAAGGGCAACAATGCAAGTATGAAGCATAGAACCTTGCAAAGAGTGCATGAAATCATGATTCTATATGCTTGAGATAGTTTCAGATCATTCTCGGCGCCAAAATAGCAATGTTCATATTTCCCCATTGACTTATAAGGGTGTAACGTATTAGTTCCTTGTATCTGAGGATTTTTTAGGATTTCATCTTGTTCTCCACTCAATTCTGCGTAAGATGCCGGGTTCCGTGTCCACATAGCTTGAACGTAACGGATGCAGCGACCGCAAACGTAAATCGAGGTCCCGAATTCCCTATTCCCCAACACAGGCGGCGGCCGCTTTCTGGCCTGCGCAACATGGCGGCACCGTTGGACACCATCTGGCGGCCGATGCGCCTTCCACATTATAGAGTTCAGTGGGTCATACTAAGTACGGGTCAAGGTCAGGTCAGGTCACGAAAGGTCACGGTTTTCACTTTCTGCTACATGGGCGTGCGACACATGTTTTATGGCTTATTTTTCACGCCGAATCCGATGGTAATGGTTATATGTGACCCCAAGTCACTGTGCTGGTGATAAGTGTGCATTGAAAGCATAAAAAATCGTTTATACCATACATAACTAAACGAGGGCTAAGAAAAAAATTCAATTTTTCAACTTTTTATTTTTGACATAAAAATGTTTTTTTCTAGACGAGCTTTGTCCCAGTAATCTAGTGGTGCCATTTGTTTTCACATGCGATGTTCAGAAGTGCCTCTAATTCACGAAAATGCTTATGACGTCACCATCCCTATGCATGTTGGAGCTATTTTTTACAATTTGGGGGTCAAAAATCAAGATAGAAAGTTGAAATTTGGGACATCTAATGTTCTAATAGAGCTCTATAGCAAATATTCCGTTTTTTTTTTTTTAAATTCTCAAAATTTTGGATTTTATTAGCTATTTTCCAAAAAATATAGTTTTTTAATTTTTAGGGGTGAAAAACGCATTTTGTGGGAAATCCGAGATAGCCATTTTAAAGAACTCGTTGAGCTGCGTCTATTCATGTCCTTAATTTGCAATTTGCTTTAAACCTTGATTTTTGGCGATTTTTTAAACATTTACCACTTTTTGACTGAAAACGCCATGTAGTTACATCACTAAAATCGATATATCTAAAAAAGTTTTGAAAAAAAATCTTAAAAATTACACAGAAGACGTCAAATTGATGGGGGAGAAGGTATGCCAAGTTTCAAGTTGATAGCGTAAGCGGTTCATGAGTTATTCGAGAAAAACTGAGGGGGGGGGGGGTCGGATCCGGGTCGGATCCGACCCCCCCCCCCCCCAGGTGGTCGCGGGATAAAGTGTATTCTTAAACTTTGAAGAAAGCCGAAAATCCAAAAACTTGCAACCGCATGCGAGGTACAGTGTGGGGCGGCCTTCAGGTATTGCCTATGAAAATATCACGTGACAATATTCCTGTACTTGAAGTAAATGTGAAGTTATACATTTGAGGGAGATCGTGATTCAAGCTGCAGGAATTCCTTTGTTGAGCCACTAGAATCCGAAGGGAAAAGCGGGAAATGCCTATGACTATTTAATGAAGTTAACGGTGATGATAAAGTGCGAAAAACGTTTTGACTTTATAAAATTTGATGAAATGACCAGGGAAAAGTTTTATTACTGACGGTCAATTCTTAACGGCGCAAACATTTAAACAGTGAGAAGAGTGGAGCGCGATTCGAAGTGTAGTACACATTTCGTACTTTGAGCGGCGACAGCGGGAGAACGGTGTGGAGCTTCGAGGATCGGTCTTCAGTTCCCGGACCAGAAAGGTGGGGCCTATGCAATATCAAATGTCATCAAAATGATGATACTGTCCCTTTAACCCTCGCCGGCCGAGGGGGGGGGGGCGGGTGCCGCCCCCCCATAGGGTTTTTTCGCGATAGCTCCGAACACGCTGGCGATAGAGAGCTGAAACTTGCCATACCTGACCTTTGATCCAAGCCGCATCTTTTGACACCAACCGCATTTTTGGGTCAGGTCAGGTCACTGACCTATGACGTCATAAGTGAACCTCTGCACGGTCTTCAGATGTCGCAACTTCGCAACGCCCTCACTGCCAGAGGAGATGTTACAGGGAAATGAAACT